CGTTCAACTTTGGTTCCGGATCGGTGTCATTGACCTACCACCGTCTGAAATAGATACGCCCTCATAATGTATCGCTGGCCCTCTTTACTATAATATGTATGTTATCTTTGCTAAATTATCTTTATCTAATAAGTATCAAATGTATGTGTCATATACGCTTTAGATATAACATTATTGAGATATCTGAGATCACAATTTTTAAAGCAGGTGAAAAACCATTTTAACTTTGGCGTATAGAATTGTAAATTTTTTAATCAAAACATTTTAAATGAGTTATTATAACCTTTTGTTGCATCTTCCATTACAAGTGCGTCTTTAAAAAGATAAAAATCATTAAATATAATATTCCATATTATCAGTCGCCTAACAAAATTAGTTAGGTGTCGGACGCTGGTCTTTGAAAGCTGACTGTAATTGGAAATAGAGTGGCTAAATGCCGCTACATCGACACTTGCGAGTGAGCGGACCACATCTAAACTAATTCGTCAATTAACCCTCGCCTGAGAATATGGACTGTGGCGAGTCGAGAGCCGCGTATTCTCGTACATCGGCGGTGGCCGTCGTATCGCGGCTTCAACGCGGTCGTAGAGTTCCGCCAGTAGGTGGGTCGCTTGATCTCTCCCGCGGTATTGCAATGCACATCCGGGGCGGTCGATACGGGCGCCGACTTGCGCGGTGCCGTTTCCCCGCGCCGGCATCGCACGCCCCTCGCGTCTTGAAAACCCCTGCGAAACGGCTCTCACATCGATTTGTTCGCTTGATAATTATTTAGCGCGCTTGCGAAAATATATCACCCTGTAGTAAGAAAACGCTCTACTTACAAGAATTTGCCTCACCCGCACTAACAAGTCGGCTTTTGCTTGTTATAAGACACTAATGACACAATATACTAAGTTAAATATAAACACAGTGTTTCACGATGCTAATTAAAATATAAAGGAAAATAAAAGTACTAGATTTTACCTTGTTACCTGAACACAATCTTAGAATATACGCTTATGATTACATGGTGCATTTTCCTTCTTACATTTTAATTCTTGTACGGCTCTATTTTGATATTCAAAGACTATGTATATTAAATAATTGGTGAGATGAATCCTCGTTTGTGTTTGTCTCGAACGTTACATGTTTAGAAAGTACCTATAGAAGTATAAAGAGAAAAAATTACACATGCTAGTAAATTTATATTATTAATATATGCAAAAAAATAACGCAACGCTAGAGGAGAGCGCAACTGTTCACATTAATCCCGCAAACCTACTTTCATGTCCACTTTCCTCTTAAACCAATAGCGCGCAGCAAACAGTAATCCACTTATAGTTATATTTAAAAAAAATCGAATAAATATACCAAAAGCAATCTTATCCTTTCAACTAGTAGCCACAGATTAAAGAATAATACGTCCATTTTAATAACAGCATTTACATAAAAAAATCCTGGTGTAAAATGTTTATTACTAGAAAGACGCATTTTTAGATTTCAATCAAGATTTGTAAAACGTTTAAATTTATACATATCTTTTTAAAACTATAGTCTTAATAATAATAAAACAACGGTCTACATTAAAATCATTTCGTATTTAATTTCCCAGGTGACTAAAAACTTAATAATTTCTGATGAATGTAAGGCAATTAAAGACGCAATAATTTCTTATGAATGCATGACTAATTCGCTAATGTGTACGTACGTGACGACTGCCACACTTAGAATTTATTAACTCACTTAGAACAGAGGTCCTGTAGTGTGGATTATACATTACCGTGAATTCAATCTCTAACAGAAGCTAAAAATAGCTTTACGCTACCAATCACTGCCGGCCCTGCGAAATTAAATAAAGGCACTTAATAGATAGCCTGTGTGTTCTTAAAGACTATGTTGTACATCTATGCCAAATTTCAGCGAGATCCATCCATGGAGATACCAAACAAATATCTATCCAAACATTCGCATTTATAATATTAGTAAGGTATAAAAACGTCGAATTTAGCTCCTATAAATAACTTTATTATTTAACTAAATAAAGACGAAAACAAAAATATTGACGTCACAGTTTATTTTGAGCAGCGAAATTTTCCAAGACCTTTACGAGTGATTGGGGTATTCAATAATAAGTGCGCAAAATCAGAAGCTTTCTATAAGTCCTCGGGCGCGTAGGAGCTGTCTAATTTTAGCCACTGCTGGGTAGACGGAAAATCGATAACAATGATTTGAAATCAAAATGTTGTATCATCTACTATGTTCTGACGAAATGAAAATACACGATGAAATTTATTTCTTATATTTTTTTTATAATGTCTTTAATCTAAAAATGTCTTAAGTACGAAATTGCTCTCGAAATTTTCGTAGTATTTCGAAGAATCATATATTAGAAATTGAACTTTCTAACAAAATCGACTTATATTAAACACGTATTTGTATAACTTATTTAAAGGGACGTGAGGGCGTAAAATTATATGTTTTCCGTTTTTTTTTTAATACAAGCTGTTGCCTGCTACTCAGACCGCGCGGAAAACAAAAACTTAATTAGTAACCTAAGTGTTCTTCCAGACTATGCTCTACATCAAGGCCAAATTTCAGCGAAATTCTTGTAGCTGTTCTGGAGATACCTTCTAACAAACATCCATCGATCCATCCATCCAAACATTCGCATATATAATATTAGTAACATGAATATAAATGGTCTTTAAAGCACGTTTTCCATTGATTGTTTTGAGTGCGGTTATATTCCGCTGTGTGATGTAAACGATTGGGTTTATTTTCTTTTATAAACACCATCAACTAAGTGATTGGATGTGTTCAGCTGAAAGCCAATTACTATTCGATGAAATCGTTTGTAAAAGCCGTTCATTCAGCGACTAAAAAAACAAAATAGAAAACGACGACAGCTAACGCGATTTAACGCAACGGTGCTTGTTTGCAAACGAGTAAAAGCGACTGAAAATTGACGAAATAGAACAAATATAAAAGGCAAATTTTTTCAATCGCATTGCATCATATTTGTGTATTGAAATTTATATCGGAATTAGTTAAATGATATTGTTATATTTTACAGTAGCGTTAACAGAATACCTATTTCTTTGACCTTTTTTATTAAGATTATTTATCAAACACTAGCTGTTGCCCGCGACCCCGCGATATTTAAAAAAACTTAATAAGTAGCCCATGTGTTCTTCCAAACTATGCTCTACATCCGTGCCAAATTTTATCAAGATCCGTTGAGCCGTTCTGGAGATACCTTCAAACAAACATCCAGTCAAACATACGCATTTATAATATTAGTAAGATTTTAGTAGTTACATTTTAAACGTAAATTGAAAAGAAAACATCACACAAAAGACGTAGGTATGCTTTATGCTAAAAGCTTCTTGGAAATTACAAGCATACTTCAGGAATTAAAGAACGCTTGTAATGTCACGAAAAGGTTAGCGAACAGAGAATCTCTTTTAGACATTTTTATTAAATGTAACAAACATTTTTTATTTTTTTCTCAGCCTTACAGAATTAGTTTATTCATCAAAACTAATTAATTTAATAATTCGATAGCGGTAATAACAATTGCTTTTCAGTGATGGCTTTTGTAATGTCAAATTGATATTACATGTTTAAAGAAAATTTGACAATAGAAAATGTCTCTTTGAACCTTTGTATAGTTAAAGGAATATTTTATAATCTTTTAACATCAAACTTCTTATATATAAAGTACAAAAGTTAAAGCTGAAACCAACGCGAACAATTCATTGATTACGTCTAGACACAAAACCAAATCTCATTTAAGCCGAAATTGGAATTGCGAAATTAATTAGCGTCGATTTTGAAATCTAAAAGGGAATTTGCAACTGAATGGCATTTACAAAGGGGAACAATGTATTCGAAATTTAAACTAATACAGATACGAGAGGTCGATATGCGGGGAAATGATCATCGAGTGGCAGACTGTAAAATTGAGTTAATGCTGACTATATGATTACAATTTTCGGAGTGCTTTCGAATTTACGTATTGCTTTATTACCAAACGCTTTCAATTCCATTACGGGACGAGTTTTAATCAACGAAATCAAACACAAAAATGAATTTAAAATAACTGCTATGAAATACTTCAATGTTTCAAAATTACAAGTTCGATATCAAAACATTACGAGAATTTTTAGAACCAAAACAAACATACACATTCTCGGAAAAAAATTCAATGACACTCAACTGAGCGAGTGTGTATTTTTTACTTTTTATTGTATCAAAACAACAGAGTTGGAGATTGTGGAGCGACTAAAAGAATTAATGCTGTATTTAGATTGTGTTCTCTGCGTTCAACGTATTAATTATTATTATTAAAATACTAGTTGCCGCTCGCGACTCCATCCGCTTGGAATTTAAAAAAAAACTTAGTAACCTACGGTAGCAGTTCCGGAGAAACCTACTAACAAACCATCCATCCATCAAAACTTTCGCATTTATAATATTAGCAAGATTAATAACATTAGCAGGTAAATAATTTCCTGTAAAATACAAGCTAGAGCTTACTTGTACAGCAATGTTGGATTTAGGATTGGTTGGTTGGAGATTTTGGCAGTGAAAAGCGAAAATTAACTATTTTTTCGTAAAATACATAAATATATTCGTTGTCAGTTTAATATCGATGTCATTTTTATTGTACCTATGTACATTAAATAAATTAAAAAATATCAATTAAGAAAAGCTAACTAATAACGATATTAATGTCGTTGAAGCGACTCTACAAGTAGTCTGAACTTTGCTTCACGCTGTTGTTATTACAGTCATCTTAACAACAGAAGTTTTGAAAACATTACGCCTTAAGTTTTCAATCAAACCTTATAAAATTTAAATACTCATATGTACAGAACCCATTTAAAAAGCCAAGTTACGTCCAAAAATCTTATAGTCAAATATACCGGAAGCTGGATCCAAAGAGTATAATATTTAGGCTTGACGTAACTTGCACAGATAAGTTATGAAACGCAAATGATACTGTTTGCGATTTCTTGTTTATCTATGACATTCACTCCACTTCGCAGGGAAGCCCATCCGTGTTTTGATTTTAAGCAATTTCAAGTGTCTTATTTTATTTAATTTTTAAGTCATTTAATAAAATAGCTTGCTTTATTTACATATTAAAATATGACTTGGGGCTTTGTAACGTGTGGCCCTAATGAGGCACTAGTTGTTTCAGGTAAGTTTCAAAGACCGCCTAAAAGTAGTTTGTTGTGCTGAGTGCTGAGCAATGAGTTTAGTAGAAAAATCTTTGTTGTTGCTGTAAATATATATATGTGTTATTTAATTATACACAATTATTATCTTAATGTTATATGTTAAATTTACTGTAGCGCATAACCATGCTTAGGCGAATTCATTTAATTCGAGTAAATTGATACTCTGCTATGCACAAAATAATTTTTTGTACAAAATTTTTACAAAAAATATTAATATAGGGGTAAAAATTATTCAGCACATTTAAAGAACTAATAAATTAGATTTAATAAAAGGTAGTTGATGGCATTAACATAATGAATTTTGTTATTTATTAATCTAAAAATATGAGACCTAGTAAATTGCACAATACTTAACTCACTTTATGATATAGGGAATTAGTATAGTATAAAATACAAGCTAGAGCTTACTTGTACAGCAATGTTGGATTTAGGATTGGTTGGTTGGAGATTTTGGCAGTGAAAAGCGAAAATTAACTATTTTTTCGTAAAATACATAAATATATTCGTTGTCAGTTTAATATCGATGTCATTTTTATTGTACCTATGTACATTAAATAAATTAAAAAATATCAATTAAGAAAAGCTAACTAATAACGATATTAATGTCGTTGAAGCGACTCTACAAGTAGTCTGAACTTTGCTTCACGCTGTTGTTATTACAGATTAAAAAAAAAAAAACAAATACTCTGAGGAATTTTGCGAGAACTATTCGACGTTCACTTGTTATTGCAGTTTTTAATTCCGCAAATAAAAATTAAACCAAAACCACTTAGTGAAAGAAAAAAAATAATATAACTTAGTTATGTTAAAACAACAACGCTATTCACGTTAGCCTAAAGGGATTGACAGAGATAGGATTTGTGAATATAATCGACACACAAGCTTAAATGTATGAAGCAGTAGGGGAAGGTGTACCAAGACTCCGCAAAATTGAACAAGACAATAACTTAATGTTAAAATGCGTACGAGTAGTCCAACTTATTTTAATTCTAGACCATGAGCAATTAGTATCGGTAAAAATTACACTATACAAAAATGGTGACGCCTTTATTTTGAACGGGGACAGCGATATTTGACTCATCGTTCGAAACGTTGAGCAATAATTTTTACGCCATAAGAAATGCAGTTAGGAACCATGCGTCACCCTTTACATTTGTAGAGCATGCGCCTATACGCCTTTTAGGACGAACTATTTGACAGAAAATAGATACTTAACAGATCGTAACGAGAAAATATTTACACACAATTTATAAAATTAATATGATGTAATTATTATATTAACTACATCCATTGATTAAGTAGTTGATGATGATGTTGAAAAGTATATGTTAAACTTTCCAATACGAAATAGCAAGCCCGTATTTTGCTTCTAAATATTGAAACATTTAAATGGTACAGTAATAATTATGTAAGTAGGTCATGACATCGTTACCATGACAACTTAGAACCAGGAAAAGAAAATGGTCGCGGATGATTGGAATCCTGGAAGATTTTATATATTATGTACTTCCTTTATATCTTACCAAAAATATCATCTATTTTTATACGATTTATACGATCTTGTTTATTTCTAATTTATTTACTAATTAGCGGTTGTCCGCCACCCCGTCCGTTCGGAACTAAAAAAAAGGAAAAGTTGTTAGCCTATGTCTTCTTTCATACTACATTCTATATGTCTGCCAAATTTCATCGAGATCTTCAAACAAACATCCATCTAAACATTCGCATTTATAATATTAGTGAGATTATTATTTTAGTAATTTATCAAAAAATACCTTTGGTCAACCGCGTTAAGAAAAAGCAAACGCCTTTTTTATAAAAGATTTCTATTTGAAGTCTAGATCATTTTACTGTTAAAATAGGGTTTTATAAGTTTTATGGAATATTTTCTTCACAGACATTTTACAATCTCGAGACAAGGTAAGCCGATTAAAATGAAATTCTCGCAAGAATAGATTGAGAGGATCTTGAAAAATCTTTTTCACATTTAATGCGATAATTGAATCTAGGAACTCTTCAGACTATTAGTTTGCGATCGGGGCGTAAATGGAAAGTACTAAGAAACTGCATTAAAAGTCTAATAGAGCTTTTGCTAAATTATTCTTTAGGTCTGAGGGAAATTGGAAGAAAACTGTATTTTTTATCGATAACTTATTTTTATATATCGCTTTAGATAATTTATATAGCATGGGTAAAAAATTTTTTTAAAGTTGTGAGACATATATCAACGCGTATATATCAATAAGTTCGGTCCTTTTTCATATTTTATAGATTTTTTTTTTAATTTTGTAAGAACATACAGGCACTCCTTTTTTATATGTAATGTATAGACTAAGATTTTAAAAAGTTCATTTTAGAGTAAAAGTATATTTAGGATTACATTATGATTTGGGATAGGTATCTTAATCCTATTTTTCGCAGTGTGTTTATTTTAACAGATTTTGCGTTGGTTTTAACAGAGCAAGAAATGTAATGGAATTTTTATAAAAACGGAATTTTGAAAGAGGAAAATATTGTTGGTTTAAATGAAACGGCTTAACAAATTACAACCCCTTTTTTCTGTTTACGCCGACAAAGTAGTAATTATTTTAATATGTACGCTCCGGGTCGTTCAGAAGATTTCGAAACCGGTTTTATGCCCGCTATTGGAAAACACACACGGTCATCGATTAGTAAAACGAACCAACAACTGAACGCGTTCTCGCGATGAAGACCTATTTTGTACGTTTTATTCAAAAGATCGCACACAGCGGAATACGCGTAACATCGTAGAACTTAGCTAGCTAATATCCATAACGCATAACAATCTGCAGAGAATAACTATGTTCTCAATATTTTAAATGTTCAAAATGCGTGTTTTTGCAATGAGAACTTAAGGTTACATAAACTTAAAAATAGATCTCATCCCACACGTTATCTTCATTGATTCTTTAATTATAATTAAAAAAGATTGTTTTTTTTTTGTATGACCTTTATTAAATTCCTTTTAAAGATAATCGATGTATTCGTTTCTTCATATTTTTTATAGTTGTAATTTATGTTGCTTTGGACTGCGGGATTATGCGGGTATTACGAAGTACAAAGTGACCAATTGTCTTTTTCATTTACATTTGCATTTTAATACACAATTTTTTTTATAACGCAACCAAATATGGATACATATTACTTTCAGAAATAAACATGGGGGATGACAACATAAAATAAGTTGTCATCCCTCTCATTATTTTTGAAAAAACAACGACATCAATATATTACAATGCAACATATTTTGGCGGTGCAATTTCCTTATTACCTTATCCAAATATGTAAGGTACATAAATAATATAAACATTAACAGGCTAAAAAACGAGATGTTTTGCGTATATTTGACTTCCGCCATTTTGTCGCTGACGGTTGCTATTTTATATACTCTTTGGTTGCGGCTGAATGCGGTGGAGAGAATTCGAACTAATAATAAAGATAGAATTAACTGTCAGGAATATCAACAGCCGCGTCAGCACGAAGCAAAAGCTATCATTTCCAAGCAATGACCTATCCATCCATAGAGATAAGTATCCTAATCCCTTTTTCCTTAAATTCATGCTATGCTCAAGTAGGGCGGCATGCTTATATCCTTACTTGTTTGAAGAAAATATTTAAGGTGTGAAAGAGATCGCAGTATGTTTCACATTTGCTATCGCTTGGCAATAAGTGTGACCAGATTAAAATTGGGCCTTCTACTAAATTCTGCCAATATTTCCTAATTGATGCCGAAATTTGTTTAGTGGTCAGTAAAAGTACTAATAGAGTTTTTTTTACAGTGAATCTAACTTTATATATATATATATATATATATATATATATATATATATATAAATATTTTTTGATGGTTAGGTTAGCATGTACACTTATAGAGTACAAAATTTTTGTGTACTGATTCTACGAAAATCGTTAAAAATTTCCTAGTGTGGCCACCCTGCTGCAATGACACGAGTCACAGATGAAGTAGTGTTTATGACAAAGATCGAAACAACTTCAATCTATGGTTTATTTAGGTATCAATTTTAATTATAAGAGGTAAAAGTCAATTACAATCACAATAAAGCTCCCTATTCTCCTTAAATTCCGCCAATAAATGATAATTAGAAAGACCACACTTAGATTGTTCGTCATCTTAACAACAGAAGTTTTGAAAACATTACGCCTTAAGTTTTCAATCAAACCTTATAAAATTTAAATACTCATATGTACAGAACCCATTTAAAAAGCCAAGTTACGTCCAAAAATCTTATAGTC